CCGGATGGAAATCATTGGAAATGCAACATATGTGATTATAAATGTGTGTATAAAGCAGATATGGTTAATCATACATCTATTACACATGATGAAAAATGTCAATACAAATGTAATTCATGTTCTTTTAAAACTGGTGGCAAAATTATGTTTGAACAACATGTTACTAGCAAACATTCTAATGATTCAAATGTTGATTATATTTTAATATATCAACGAATAAAAGGTATAAATAAAAAAAATACAGATAATATAGAACAAAGCGGACAGGAAGAACCTTTTGATACTACTCCTCTTTGGAGAAGAGATATGCCTCGAATTAGACATATTCGCGGAATTCTTCTTGAAGAAGAAGATGAAATATCAACAGAATCTTCTTTAAAAATAGGAAAACGGAAAAGTGATGCAGAACTATCAAGTACTAAACCAGCTAAAATAAAACCAGGAAAATCTGGTTCTTTAGATGGCACAAAGCAAACAAAAGAAAAATCTAAGCGATCATTGTCTTGTGATAAAGTATCAACAGAAATGGAAAATACAAGTACTATTTCTAATACAGTAGATAAGTCCAAAGAAACGAAGTCTAAATCAATTGAAGATAATGATATCAACGAATGTGATATTGGAAGATTTGGTCCTTATGGAAAAGCAGATGGGAATATGTACGTTTGTACTTTATGTACGCAATTTAAAACAAAATATAAACACGATATGAGAGATCATCTCTACAGAGAATTAAATTATGCTAGGTAAGTATTTTTGCGAATTTATTTCATTATTGCAAAATATTTTCCTTCATTTAATGATATTAATGATATTCATTTAATTATATTATATATTATATAAATATTATAGATGGCACTGTAAGGAATGTGGATATTTATCCGTAAATCGTAATGCTCTATTGAAACACTTTACTAAACATCATAATGGAGAACGTCCTAATCATGAACCATTGTCTCCAGATGATGATATTGAAGAATGGGTAATTTAATCTTTATATATATAAAATTATTTTAAATATTTTAAATACAATAGAACATTTATTGCATTATTATTTTTAATAAAACAATGTTTTAACATTCAGGTTGGTACATTATTAAAGAGACAAACACTAATGATAAAAGGGTTATTAACCAAACAAAACGTAAATAATATAGAAAATTCTACAATTACAAACACGATTGGAAATGATTCAAAAACATGTTTTACAAAAGTTACTCAAAGTACTATTACAAAAACTGTAAAAACTGCAAATATTACTGATAAATCTTTTAATAAACAAGATAACAAAAAAGAAATTACACAAATTAATTTAGAAGTGCAAGATGAATGCAATAAAGATAATTCTATTGATATAAAAAAAGACAGTATATCAATGAAAGAAAAAACTGTGAAGATTATGGATGTTGAAAAAGGTAATATCTTTAAATAAAATAAATTAAAATAATACAAAAAATGTTGTATTATTTTAAAATTATAATACTAAAATTGCAATCTTTAATATAGCTGCACCAGAAGAAGAACAAGAAAAACCATTTACTTGTAAACATTGTAAAATGACATTTTTCCGATGGCGTGGTTTTAAATTACATATACAATTGACACATTTAAAGCGACTTGGATTTATTTGTCCTTACTGTGATCGTAGCACGAATTCGGAGGGTTTAATGCGTCAACATATTCGTTCCAAACATCCCGGTTGTCTTGAGAAAATAGTTGAGAATCCAGCAGCAGGTGAACCGGAATTACCAGAAGAATTTTGGCAACAGGAATATGGAATCGTGTTTCCAAAGAGGTATAGAAAACGAAAGAGAAAAATTAGCGGAGAAGAAGTTGTGGAAAAAAGCGATAATCAATGTCAAATTGAACCTCAAGAAAAATGCAACATCTGCAATTTCACCGCCATGAATATGACCGGTCTTAAAATACATATGAGGATACATGCGACGAAAAATACTTTGAAATGTTCTTATTGTACTTTCACTGCAGCAACAAACTCAGAAGTTTGGGAACATTGGGAAATTAATCATCCATTTTCACCATTTAAAGTTGAAGATATATCACCATCTGAATCATCTAGTGAATCCACAGAAATTGAACTCAATAAGAAAGTTATTAATGATGATTATAATAATGATATAGAAGAGCAAGTCTCTGACATCAGGGAAGAAGATTCTATTTATTATTGTTTCTATTGTTCTTTCCGTAGTAAATCTTTGAATACAGTTCAGAATCATTGGAACATGATGCATAATGATTCATTGCAAAATGATTCTACAAAAATAAAATCGAATTATCCATTTAGATACAAAGAAATGCGCGTATCTTCGGAAAAATCGCTCATTAAAGCTCAATGCTCGAAAACTCAAACGGAAAGTTCTTATGAATTATACTTACAGCAATCGCATAATAGTGATGTACAAGAAATTGAAACTTCTGGATTAAAGCAAGAAGGTTGGATTTGTCAATGGTGTAATGAATTATGTGATTCTGAAGTTAAAATGAAAACACATCATAGTATGTTCCACTCTCACTTACCATTAAATTTTAAAAAACAAGAAAAAACTAAAATATCTCGGGGATACGTTTGTCCAGAATGTTCATTCACCACAACATTTATTAATGTAATGAAAAACCATGTGTCAAAACATATAAATCTATTTAAATGTAAATATTGTGATAAAACTTTTAGTTGTCCTTCTGAAGTTTCCACACACAATACCGAAGAACATCCTGATATGGAATTGAAAATAGAAAGTATACAGAATTACGAGACTTTACTTGAGAAGGTTATGGTTAAAGTTAAATGGCAAAAATCTGGACAAAGTGCTGATAAAAATGAAATTTCAATAGAATCACCGCCAAAAAATCATGCGGTAGCTAAGAAGTCTACAACTAAAAGTGCATTTCGATCAAATATTATTCCTTATAGAATAAAGGCAGTAGCTAGAAAATCTACTAATCCACATTCGAGATATCTTACTAATCATAAAATACATCATAAAGAACAAGAAATAAAAAACAAACAATTTTCCTATTATGGTGTTCCTAGAAGCCCTATTAATTTAGCCAAATTGAATACGTATATGGTAGTCGGTGGGCATCGTATGAAAGTAAACTGTACTACTCTTGCACAATTAATTAACATCGATCCGAAGATAATATTAAAAGATCTCAAGAATGATATTAAAAATACTGCAACGTTTAAGAAATTAAAATAACGAATGGAAATATAGAAGGAAATATTATTTTCCATTCTAACAACGCTGTTTAATTTATGGTGTATAAATATTTATTATATGATCATTATTGCTACAATGATCACTAATAACCAAAGTAATTTTCACGATATTAATATGCTTTTCTGTGACATTTAACAAACATTATGATAATGAATTTTTATAAAATTCATTATTTTCTCATCGCATGTTATGAGGTGAGAAATGTATAATACAAAGTTGATTGTTCTATAATTATATATTTTGAGCTTCTACTCGCTGTTAGTGTACATTTAGAAATTCTGAAATATAAAAGAAAAATACAATAATGCATACTTCACTGATGCTAAATTGAAATAACAAACACCAAATTGAAGTGAAATAAAAAGAAGATGTAGATGCTCACTTGTGGTAATTTCAAAAGTTGATGAACTAATTCCGCATTAGTTAAGCCTGCATTACTGTATTTATATTTGCTGTAATATCATGTTGTCCTTTTATAAATAACCTTACTGGACAATTGAATTTAGATAAAAAAAAAGAAAATTTTTCATACTTAAATATAATAATAATAATAATTATATTCAATTAATATAATATCAATTTATTGTTAGCACTGTATATCAATGTTGTGTGTTATACACATTATGCACACATTACATTACACACTATACACACATTACACATATACATAGAGTATATAAACTCTGGATATATATTTCTAATTCCAAAAACATTATGAAAATTTATTAACTAAGAAAAAATTGTGCCATGTTATCCATTGATCTTATGAAAAATTATCCTAAAAATTAAAATGCAAAATTATAATATTATAAATATATAATATTAAAAATATATTAAAATCAGTTAGATAATTCGAAAAAATTATTAAATTTATTTTGAAATATGTAAAATCTCTTAATATAAACATGTTTGTTTTTTTTATAAATAATAACGTGTAATGTAATATTGATAAATTATCCTAAAAATCAAAATGAAAAATTATAATATAAATAAAAATATATTAATATTCATTAATTCAAAAAGATAAATTATTAAATTGATTTATTTTGAAAAATCTTTTGTGTAGACATATTTGTTTTTTTTTATAAATAGTATTGTTATATGTAATGTTATTTTTAAGTACTTATATTTAATATCGACTAATTTTTATGTTTCATTAATCTGAAGCGTTCGTTAAATTGTTTCTAAAAAATATTAATTATCTCAATTCAAGAGAAATTGATATAGTAGTAAAGTTAAAAATTTTATAAAAATAATATGTTGAAAATGATATGATGAAAAATCAATCAAATAAATTTAACATTTGAAATTTTATATTTATCGATATTGAAAATAATTATCAATTATATAAATAATACAATATTTATTTACAAATTTATTTTGTAAGACTTAAAAGTTATAATTCTTTTTATGAAAGTATCGATAAGTAAAAATTTTATATGTTAATAATTATATCATATTTGATATATTATTTCGAACAAAAACCATGTATATAAAATATATATTTTGCACATAGGTTTTTGCTCGATATTTTTAAAATCAATCTTTTAATATCGAACGTAAAATAAAAAGACAAGACTGAATGTCCTGTAAGTAGTTTATAAGAAAAATACTGTAAATATTGTAAAATTGTAAATATAAAATTTCACATAAATATTTTTGATTTTTATAATAATAGTGGTCGTCATTTCTATTTTACATTTTTTATAACAAAATTATTTTAAAATTATTATAAAATTTAAAATTAAGAAAATAATATTTATACAATTAATTTTTTTTTATTTATCTCATTAATTATACAATAAATCGAATTGAATATCTTTTAATCTGGAATTATACATCTTAATTAATAATAAAAAGTTCAAGAATAAATATTTTTATTATTTTTAAATATTAAAAGTATTATTTCTTCTATATAAAATATTTTTATTTTTTATGCTAAACAATTCTTTTGTTATTTAAAGCATATAAATTCAAAAATTACGCAAAAATTCATAGAAATCGAGCATATATAAAATTTGAATTAAATGAGAGAACTTCAAATCATGAAAAATTTGTTTTAACCTTTTAAAGAAGATAATCCTGCTCTCATAATTTCATCTACTAAAAGAAGATTACTGGCGATGATCGTGCTATAAATAAAAATTAAATACATATTTCAGAAAAAATATAATAGTAAATTGTTATAGTAAATTCTATTTTAATTCAAATAGAATTTTAGAAGTATGCTTACCATGAATTAATAATTTGCTTTTTCACATTATAATTATCATAAATACCAGCATCCGTGGGTTTTAATGCTTCATCTGTAGAAATATCTAATCCTACTGCTTCACCTAATGCAGATCTTTCTTCTAATAATTTAACAATTGTATCTTGTGCATCAAATCCACTGTTTACAGCTGAATGATGAATATTATGAATTAAGATAAACGAATTTTAAGAAGTTATGTATAAAGTTAATTCAAAATATCTTTACCAAGAGTTTTCGGAATAATAAGTATAGCTTCCGCGTAAGCTTGTACACCTAAACGTTGTTTTCCTTTTACTTTTTCTTTATATTGATGGAGTGTTTGACTAGCAGCTACTTCAAAAGCACCAGCACCAGGAATAACAGCACAATCATCAATAGCATTTTTAATAGCTCTTAGACCATCTCTTACAGCATCTTTTAATTGTTCCAAAGTATATTTATTTGGTCCCTAAAAATTTCTCATTTGAAATTGAAATGAAAAGAACTCGCTAATTTAATTTATTTACAATTTTACCTTCAATAGAATTGTTACAGAATTTGGTTTCTTGCATTCTTCAATGAACGTATATTTTGTCTCTCCCTATAAAAATATAAAAAATAAAATGTTTTTTATTTTGCTAAATAATATTATTATTAACAAAATAATTACTATACATTATATCAACAAAATATTTACCAATACATGTTCATATACAAGTCCAGCCCATCCTAAATGTTCTTCCTTTATATCGTCGAAAGAATTCATAGCTGTTCCACCACAAGCCAGTGCTAAACGTTCCATATTTCTACGTTTTGCTCTACGCAAAGCCAAAATGTTTTCTTGAGCAAGCATATCCAAAGATTGCGGATCAATGCCTTTTTGATTTATAACGACGAATGATTTATCCGTTCCATCGCATAATTTCTTTTTTAATTCAATTATTTTTTTTACTCTATTATCAATAAATTCACGCTCTGCAGCGACTAATTTCTCTCGTTCTTCAGCAGTTTTGTAAAAGAATCCACTGTTTACCTTTATAATAAATATTATTTGAATATATATAAATATATACATTATAAATTATAATATAAATATGATAAATTCTTTTTTTTCAATTAAATTAATTCATTTACCTCACTCTTTTCATATTCTAAACTAACATTACAAGTCAATATGTAAGCATTTTCTACTCTTTTAGGCATATCTGGATGTCTAGATCCATGATCAGTTACAATACCAAGAATCAAACTAGTATCTGCTGCAGTTCTATGTTGCATTTCCATTAATTCAATCATGTGCAAATCGATTTCCTGATCTTTTTGTCTAATAGCCAAAACAGCATCCACACATATTTCTGTCAACTTATCAGCTATAGATGGATGGATTTTAGTTCTAAGTGATGTTCTAGCAACATTCATTAAATTTTCTTTTGAAGGCTCAATTGGTATTTTCAGAGAGTCTAATATTTCTAAAGTTTTGATTCGAGCTAATTCAAAACCTTCTGTAAGCACTCTTGGATGAAGACCCTCAGAAATATAAATATCAGCTTGTTTTAAAAGTTCTGCAATAATCAAAACAGTACTAGTTGTACCATCTCCAGTAACATCATCTTGAGCAGTAGATGCTTTGGCAATTAGAGAAGCTGTCGGATGTTGAATTTGCATTTCATGTAATAATACATTTCCATCTTTTGTAATTTTAATATCACCTGCACCAGAAACAAGCCTTAAAAAAATAAAATCAAATTATATCAATTAATATTTTGAGCAAATATTAAGATTTGAATGTGTATTACAATAAAACATGTATATTAAAGATATAATTTTTAATACATGCATATTCGTGTACTATTTCATATATATTAAATTATCAGACTTTACTTCAAATAATCTGAACAAAAATCTAAAATAAGAAATCATGAAAATCTAAGAAATAGATAGATACATAGAGAGAGAGAGAGAGAGAGAGAGAGAGAGAGAGAGAGAGAGAGAGAGAGAGAGAGAGAGAGAGAGAGAGAGAGAA